AACTGGTTTCCTTTCTAAATTTTTCTACTGTCAGACATCATTGGTCAGTGGTAGTGAATATATGAATTCTAAGGTGAAACACTTCACAGAGCTATGACCTGGTGAATCACCTCAGAGTGTCACAAGCCTTGCAACGGATGTCCTAGGATTTTCTCTTTACTTACTTTTCGATGTAATATGATTCCAGTTTTCTGTAGTCAGTTCCAAATCCCATCTTTGCCATAAAAATCTGAATGTCTGGATTAGATTGCCTGCAAAATGACAGGGTATACACAAACAGCATTTCTCTTAAAAATGTGTTAGGTGCAACAAAAATATAAAAGCTACATAGAATTTTTCTTAAAATTAAATTTTTCGTACTTAGTAGATGTTAGACGTCTGAGTACATAATTCTTAAACTCCCATATATAAATATTTCTAACGTAACGTTTCCTAACGTTTGATAGAGGGCATTTAGATGCAGAAGGTTGTTGTATTATTTATTATTAGTTGTAATAATTTCTATTAGAAAGCTTCACTTGATGAACATTGCCACATATGATATGTATATTAAGAAATGGGTTAACCTGACAAGAACCAGTTTCTCTAATTACTAGCTCCAGTACTGATAAACCCTTGCAAGATCTTCTTTCACCAGCAGATGTTGTGTCACATTCATAAAACCTTTTGTTCTATTTAATCTCTTTTGTTTAGGAAACTTGGAATGGTGTTTGGTTATTGCACCTGAAATAACAGGGAAACAAGCAGTAAGGCAGTGTGGAAGTTAGCCACAGCTGTGCCATCTCACAGCTCTTGGCTCCTGGGTTTGAATCTCTATTGACACACCCTCTGTGTGGAGCTTAAACGTTTCCTAGGTGTTTGGAATTTTCTCCCAAATTCTAACGATGTGCTGTTTAGGTTATATAGAATGTTTAAATGATGCCTGTGTGCTTGTGCGTGTGCGTGTGCGTGTGCGTGTGCGTGTGCGTGTGTGCGCGTGTGTGCGCGCGTGTGTGCGCGCGTGTGCGTGTGTGTGCGCGTGTGTGCGCGTGTGTGCGCGTGTGTGTGCGTGTGACACCCTGTCATCCTCTGGGATGGATTCTGGGTTGCTACAGCCCTTGCAGGCATGAATAATGGAACATAGAACCCCCTATGACACCACATAGCAAGTGATACCAGAATACGTGCCTCTTCTCCAGTGTTAACGGTGCATAACTTTCCTTGAACTGTGTCTTCACAGACTAATGCAGATCGGTACCCCTACGTGACTGCACTCTTGTTTGCCATGAAACAAACTGTAACATACCAGCAAGTGAAGTCCACTTCGTCCCCTCCCAGGTGGATGTAAGAGTCTGGAAAGACAACGCTGACTTCCTTAAAGAGGGTGCTCATGAACTGGTAGCTGGAGTTAAGCGCTGGGTTCACTGGGCCAAAACTCCCTGAGGGAACCGACCCCTTATAGCAAGGGGTGAGCAAGCCCAGCTGTCCTGGGAGTGGACAAGCAGAGGAAAAAATATATTAGCAGGTCCAAAATCAATCCATTCTTTTACACGCAAGAGTCAGAAAACAGTGGTCGATATTATAGAAACTTGTGACGACTCCTGAGAATGTATCAGAACTAATCATATAGGAGGAAAAAAAGATATAAAAAAGTACTGTTGCCTGCTTTCTCCATAAAGAAAAACAAAACAAGCTGTGAGGATGGTAAGAGTCTACACTACAACCACATTCTGAGGCTTAGCTGTGGGTTCCATGCCTTACTTAACCACAGACATAATGGATCTGAACATCAGGGTCAGCTTCATCAGATGGTCACAGGTTGCACAAAATCCATTTGAACTCAGAAATCTGGGAATTCTCTGGCATTTTCTGAGCCGGAATGAGAAAAGGAGGATATGAAAATCCTGCCGTTTCTGTCTTCCACCTTGCTGAATCACTTCCTCATGCCGAATCCTTCCTACCCTCACAGGCAGCAGCACACGCAGCCAGTCTGCCCAGTACAGTACCTTTGCCCCAGGACTGGGTGTGTCCCGGGGTGTCGAATTCGGGGACCACCCGGATCCCCCGCAGACGGGCGTGCTCAATCACCCTCTTCACATCCGTCACAGTGTAGATGTGAGTCTGGGGGTGGTAGGCGCCCTGAACGACAATGAGCGAAAAAAAGAGAACCATCAGAACCCTTGAGAGGTTTAATGATCAGGGGTTCAGTCCTCAATGCTCGAGGATTCGGTGTTTTGAAGCACTCTAATAGATATTAGCAGCCACAACTACTCATTTCCTTATCTGCAAGTGCTTGCAAAAGTTTATTCAACACTTCTGGGCAATGCTTTGCAACAAAATTCCAGAATTACAAAATATTTACATAGTAATTATAAAATACAAATTTACTTCCTCAAAAATCCAATTATATTATTTGCACCTGCAATGTACTTCATGTCTGATTATTTCACTGTATGCAATATAAATTTGTAAATATGCAATTTGTCTTGAATTAACCACAATAATTGTGTAGCTGAAAATACTGGTAAAATTAATGACAATGATTACACAGAACCTATGTGTAATAACAAGGAAGTCACACGTATGTACATGTAATTATCAATATCTGTGTGCTGAATGTAATATGTTGCACAATTACCCAAATTAGTACCAGCAGCCATATCACCCTGTAACTCACATCTGGCAGCCCACTGAAGCTCAGCAGCTGTGAGTCTGGTCAGTACCTGGATGGGAGACCTCCTGGGAAAAACTAAGGTTGCTGCTGGAAGAGGTGTTAGTGGGGCCAGCAGGGGGCGCTCACGCTGCAGTCTGTGTGGGTCCTAATGCCCCAGTATGGTGATGGGGACACTGTACTGTAAAAAGGCACTCTCCTTTGGATGAGATGTAAAACCGAGGTCCTGACTCTCTTTGGTTATAAAAAATCCAAGGGTGTTTTTTTTTAATTGTAGGGGTGTTATCCTAGCGTCCTGGCCAAATTTCCCATGGGCCTTTACCAATCATGGCCTCCTAATAACCCCCCTCTCTGAACTGGCCCCATCACTCTGTTCTCCTCCCCACTGAGAGCTGGTGTGTGGGGAGCGTTCTGGCGCACTATGGCTGCTAACGCATCATCCAGGTGGGGCTGCACACAGGTGGTGGTGGAGGGGAGTTTTGAGTGGAGTGTCCAGAAAAAATGTTAATTAGCAAAACCCATGAGGATTTAGTTCAGTAACTCAAGGCTGAGCAAGGCAGGAAAAGAGAAGACACTGCATAGCTCACAGAGACACTGTGGACCAGGATGGCCCAGCTACATGGTTTGTGCATTTCCACTTCCACTGAGTGCCTTCAGACAGGCAGGGTCCTGCAGTCGGGCGTGGCAGAATGGCCTGCTGGATTTACCTTGTTGCTCAGCTCAGGAAATGTGGGGCTCTGATATGGAAAGGAGGGGTCATCCACAATGTGCCAGTGGAAAACATTGAACTTGCTATAGGCCATAGCGTCCTGTGGAGGGAAGAAACAGGGGAGAGGAACACTGCAACTCTTTAACAGCTGACAGCTGCAAATATGATCCACCTATCGTCTTATACCAGGTATGTACATATTTTACAACATTCTTCTTTATACTTCAGTGCTATAGATGATCTGTGTAGACATCCACTGAGCAGACATGGTTTGGATGATATTAAAAAGTATCTCTCTTATTTCCAAACTCATGCACAGGTTCATTCCAGCTCCTATACTGTACATACATGCCCTTCAGCAGCCCCTCCCTTGAGAGTGCTCTGGCCTTACCAGTGTCTTCAGGATGGCGCTGAGAGGTAGGTAGTGCCTAGACGTGTCCAGTAAGAGTCCCCGGTACTGGAATCTAGGGTAGTCCTGAACCTCTGTCTTGTTCACATAATACTGAGAGAGACAAGGGTCTGCAATTAGAACTTACAATTTCTAGTATACAGATTAACCCGCAAGGCAGACTGCATCTATTAAGAATTAAGCATTTTACTGTCTTAAGCACTGCAATTAATTAGAAGGATAATTCCGACGAACCCCAAAATGCTAACCGAAATCATATAAACCATTACTTATTTGGAGGAAGCTACTTCTTCCACGATGTCTCTTGAGTGATCTATATTAGCTGATGGCTTGTGTTGCTACTCCACCAGTGCCTCTGTGCCTCTTATCACAGTTCTAATGTGTTCTACACATTTAAAAGGATATAACAGCATCAACGCCTGGGCCATGCTTAAGGCAGTACTTACAGTGTTATCATCATCCTGGTAAACAAGCTGACTGAATGTTTCCAAACCTTATGAAAGAAATAACAGGAAATATGGATATTAAACATTTAAAATTGGGATTTTGGAGGTATTTCAGATTTCAACTGCACAGTTTTTAAGAAGGCAATGCTATAAATCAAACATGGATTTTTCAGTCAGAAAAGGTCACTGACATTAAAACGGTCCACACGACAGCCTCGTTCAAAGTTGGTTATCAAGCAGGTTTGGATGTCAAACAGACGAGTACCTCTGAGTGCTCCCCACACTGAGTCTGCAATCAGCACACCTGGGCCATCCGCCACAGTCAGGTTGTCTGTAACACAGAAGAACAAACATGCATAATACTAAGGTGTATTTTTGGAAAACTGTGCTTTGTACTTATTCATCAGTACTGGATTTATTACAGGTTAGCAGGGGCACGTGGGGTGAGATGAGACCTCTCTTGACAACTGCTTCAGTTTTACTGATGCAAATGGCAGTACAGCCGTCTAAACTGAGCTGAACCTGCAGACAGACAGTAGGGAGAGGCCTTTCCAAGAGGATGTGGACTCGTCTGCAAACTCACAGTTCTCTTTCGAATCCAAGTCAGGGTAGCCATCACATCCAGGTTCCTTCACAGTCACCACTAAGCCAGTGGGAGGCGCTGTTCCAAAACGGTGCCCACCATAGGGAGAGACTTTGTGTTTCTCTGTTCCTGGGATCAAGACGGAGCAAAAAGGTTTGTGTTAAGTGTGCTCTCCAGCACACACAGGCCTCCAACACTGCCAGCCTTGCCTTCTATCTGATAACCACATAATGCAACTGATGATGAAACTCCATTGTCATGAACGTTTGACCAATACATACAAGATAAAATCTTTCTTCTAATTTAAAGTACTTGTGTTTTTCCATTAGCCTGAGCTTCCCAGAGGTACATCACTTAAAAAAGCAATTCAACAGAATCATCTTCATTTTAACACTTACATATTTATTTGACTGATTTTTCTATAATACACCGGTATTTGGGCATTTTTATTACAACAGTTGATAACATTGCTAACAGCTAACAGAAGGGCGTTTAGCTGGAAGGATTAGCTTAGCTGTTCTGCATTGCACACACAGCAGTAGGTTACATTATCTACTGTATACATAAAAAGACAGAAAATGAAAGCCGTTAATGCCAATTTTAAGGGAAATTTTCCAGTTTTCAGATTTTTATAACTATTTTTTCTTCAATTATTATAATACTTATTATTATATTAACTATATGAGTTATTATATTTCTTATAGTTCTATAAACTGTTGCTAAAAACAAAAAAAAATATTTTAACAACTGCTCTTCACATAAAGAAAGAACTATGCAATGTCACGTCTATGGACACAAAGAGGAAACGTACCTTTTAAATGATAACACAGTTCCCTAACGCTGAGACAACTGTAAGTTAAGCATGTGACCTGATCAAATTCCGAGTAAGAGGCCGGTGTTCTCAAACGAATAGCGAACCGCGCGAACATTAAATATTTCTAAAAGAAGCGTTTTCATTATATAGTTACACGGCCCACAATAGATCTTTCTTTGCTCACATAATATACAATTTCGAATATTTTTCGCAAACGTCCCTGCAAAGTAACAACTTACTTCCTTGTTCGCTAGACTCACGAAGGCATTAATGAATGTCCACAGTGTCATGTGCTTCTTCCTCAGCATTACCTGTTCGTACATTTGCGTAACCCGTAAACGTGAGGCTGAAGTATCTCTTGAAAGCCACGTCCAGAACCGCACATCCCTGCTGCACCGCCGACTCCTTGCCGTACTGAAATGTGAAATCGTGAGGGCTGAGCGGGTATCGCACCTCGGACTGGACCACTCGCTGGGGCATCGGCCACACTCCCTGAGCCCCCGGCACACATCGCAGCAGCAGAAGGAAGACGCACGACAAGCAGAAGGAGACGCCGGAGGAGGAAATCTTCCCGGGCGAGGAGACCAGCGGGACCTCCCAAAGCGACTGGGGGGTTTCTCGGAAAGGGCCAATGAAGACGCTGCCGGTAGACCCCTGAAACCGAGTCATGGTGGACCGGGTGATGAGGCGGCTTTGGATAAAATAATGTTTACCTAACGCATTTGCCCGAAGCTTTCCGGGGCACTAAAAACAAGCCGCTGCAGTCGGCAACATGCAAACAGGTTTCCTAGTCATGTGACAGATCCACAGCGCGTGCAGGAAGAGCAAGCACGTGACGCAGACGCGTGGACTCGGTTTCTGCACAGAAAGCAACCCCCCCCCACACACACACACACAAAACAAAATATTGACACGTCCCTTTCCAGATTATTTCCAGCTATGACGGTGGAGAGCGAAGAGGCTGCAGAACGTCAGGGTACTTTGGCATGATGGTGAATGCGAATAATAATAAACTCCGCATTTGAGGATTAAACCCACCGGGTGATGTACACTAGCCTTTTTTTTCTTCTGCGGAGTGATGGCCCATCATGTCAGCGTTACACCGAGGGGCTACTTTTGTCTGGAGGCCCCATTTTTTTTAAAAGGATAAGCGTGAAGTGCAAAATAAAATCGCACTTAAGTATAGCATCATCAATCCCGACCCTTGTATGCAGTGTAGTGTTAATTACATCGACCAAAATACTCCAATCAGATCAGGAAATGATGTTTTTTTTTTGTCCAAGATCATGGAGATGTTTTGTACTGTCTCGTGTATGCGTGTTGTGACAATGCAGGTGTATTTTTATTTTTTTTTATAAGTTCCAAAATGTTCCATGAAAAACGGATGCTGAATGTTGAGCAAATGACACTTCATGTCAAAAACAGTGTACAACAAAGCACGGGCTATTGTAATAACGTACATCATGTCATGACATACAGCCCAAAAACACAACGGTAGGTTAATTGGCTTTTGTGAAAACTAGTTATTGGACGTTCAAAAATTGTTTTGCTCCTCTTTTGTTGCGAACGCTTTATTTTATTGTACTATAACATTTTAAAAAGTTCATACAAATTTAATCCAGAAAATAACTGCAGTTACGATACTACTGTTCCAACTTTTTCTTCAATTACTAGAGGTACAAAACTTCAGCCATGAAACATTTCCGTTTACCCTTTAATGAAAAAAAAAAACGGAACACCACACAAATATAGTCGCTCCTCCAACATCATTACCATGTCATTTCTTTCATTATGGCGTGTTAAAAAAAAAGAAAGAAAATGTACCGAGAAATAGTGCCAAAAGAAATTTTATTTCGTAGGACAAGAACAAATCCCATCTTTTAAAACATTGCACGCTAATTTGCACTAGTAATGTGGACAACCATTTTACAATAGGCGTCGCCAGTATCCCAGCGTTACTTTCCAGGTACCGCTTGCTAAGCTGAAACTATGACGCTGAAGAGAAAATACTCCGCATTTTATTTACCTACACATACATTTGCACTCTCATAGGCTACGGTGTCCTCCCAATCTGAGAAACCCTGTAAAAGAGTAACCTGGACTTCACGAACTGCTCAACAGCAAAGATTAAATTAAATTACAGGAAGGAGCCCGTTTGCAACACAAAAACCCCAAACTGAGACCCTTTTTAAGCCAGTTAGCCCTTTTCCCTGTATTGTTTTCCTGTCATTACAAATATACGTAGGGGAATTCACACCAGATTCCTTCAGAAACATTACACCTAATTTTCTCAACTGGTAACGACATTAGACTACGGGTGAACACTTACACGCCTGCTGACGCAGCTACCCACCTGAACTACTTCAGAGCTCAGTTTAATACCAGTACGTGGGCTTGTACTCCAGCCTCTTGACATTAATCATATCAGCAAATTACACCCTAACGATTACGGTAGTAAAATCAAAATGATGATTCCCCAATTCCTTCCAAGCTCTCTCTAAAAATGAAATTATGGGTCGCTACTGTAACACATTCACGGTAGAACCCTACAGTGTTTTATTCAAAACTCAAATATCTGTCTTAACAGGAAGCGGACAGTTCACCAGGCCTCTGCACTTTCCACCGTTTCTGTGGCATTTGCAAAAAAAAAAAGCAGGTCACAGACCTTTTAATACCACCAAAACATAAAAACCAACAACGTCAAATATGGTGCAATTCGCATTTGGTAAACCCACTTTGATCTAGTGTACAATAGTTTTGCAAGCAATAGCAGCATAGATCCTTTAACATACTTAATGACACATATACTTCACGTGATATATGGTGCCTTATCCGCATGGCTAATGTAGAAAATATCAACCTTAACCCAAAGTTTGTCATGACCTACACTATGGAAGAATTCGAATTTCTATTTTTTCCTTGAAAGTTAAGACTATGAAACGAAAAAGAGAAGACTGTACAATGCTGGGTAGAAAGTATGGTGAAAGCCCAATCCCTAGGGTTTATCAAAAATCTTTGGAACAATTTAATCAGAAAACAAATCACATGAAAGACATCACAGCCTTTCTTGTTGACTGCCAAAGGAGACTTGATCCAAACGCTGGTGCTGCTTGCACAAACCCCATAGTGAGGTTTCTGCATCATTAAGGCACAAGCAAAGAAAACTGCACAGTAACTGGTAAAAAAAAAAAAAAGGTTGCAAGTCAGCTTCTGGAACTGAAGGATAATCTGTAGGGAAACAAACTCCATTCCTTCACAGATGTCATTTACAAATGGCCAGGATGGTTTATACAAATCAGTAAATGGTATGCACATATTTCACGTGTGCCTTCTCAAGTTCTGCATAATTTTTCCCATCCTACATTTTCATCTGAAGCACACACAGAAGTACCCATGGATAGTATTTCAAAAATTAGTTTGATAACACCAATATACTATCAAGCAGTTTTATTAGAATTAGCAGGATGATCATTTTCTTTTTGAACACCTACAGCATAATTGCCTTGCTAGCATTTTGTAAGTCAAAGATAAAAAAATCTCAGAATATTTAAGATTTAATTATATCTTCTGTTGATGTCCTCACCACTTTAGATTTTGTGGGATGTTTAGCCTTAGTCACTGAATTATCATCAATAATAGATAACCTGTTATTTAAATGTGCATCACTGTTATTAATCCAAGCATGCACACACTCAAGACATCCAAGTCACAAGTTTCAACTTTATACCTTTTCTATTGTGAAGACTCACACAACACTCCCAGTTCCAAGTGTTTTTTATGACATTTATTTCAATAGTACAGTCAGTTTTTAAAGAAGTCTTATAACAGATTAAACCAATTGGATCTACAACTCCCATTTCCAAAAATGGTTCAGAAACTGAGAGCAAAAATATAGATCTATATTTATATATGTATAGAAGTGGCTCACACTTCAGTGTAAGGAGACATCTTTTTAGTTTATGGGCAACATTCCCTGCATCATATGCAGGACAATTTTCAGACTGCTGCACTGTACAAAAAAGAATGTTAACCTCTAACAACAAGGAAAACCCACTGCGACTGCTCAGATACAGGGGGTGCCTTACATGGGGGCACAATGCCAAGAACTAGAAAACACACTTTCTGACTTGTAACTTAATCTAAAAGAAAATTTGGTGGGAAGCATTCAGAAGTTAATTGGCATTTTTTTGTACATTCCTTTCCAGATACAGCTCACAAAGTTGAATGCAAAAGCTTTACAGCATCTACAACAAATCTGGTTTTATACAAATATTTTTACCATCTGTGCCACCCCAGAGGCCCCCTTCCTTCCCAGCCCCTGAAGCATGAGTTAACCCAAAATCAGAGACTTGCGTAAAGCAGCGTCAAACTAAAGCCAAAAGAAACCCAAGTACAAAAGAAAGCCCTGCTCCAACCAGCTCCACAGACTTGCTGTTTAAATATAACCTTACCTGTGCTTGCTCAGACTGAACTCTTCCTCAGTTCTACACACTTAAAAACTGCATTTCTCACTCTCTTCTGAAGCCGAGTGACATTTTGCCGAGAGCGCACAAATTCTTTTGAGAAAGACTTCAGGTACACCCAGCATTTCCTTCTCAAAGAATAGAGGTTGTTTTATTCCTAAATGGTTTTTCCCTTTTTTTGACCTGAGAAATTATCAGGAAGTTCATTACAGAGGGGTTGGGGGTGGATTGTGTTGGGTCAGGAGAATAGTTTTTTTTTCTGCAGATATTAAAATCATACACTTCATAATAAAAACAATGAGAAAAGCTTCAGTCATCTGTGAAGAGCATCCTTGTAAACACACCTAACTCCCCTTCATCCCCTAAGGTTTAGAGGTCTTCCTAAGCATTATGCCAAAACCAACTGGATCTGGAGGACCAAACATTTGTTATAAATAATTAACTCAAGAAATGCTACCCCTAGGTCAGTTACTTCCTTTTGTCGGAGGAAAGCAGAGGCCCAAAAGTTCATAAAGCACTGCGACTGTCCTGGAGAACTGTAATTGATAACAATAGAGAAAGAGGGATGGACTGTTCCATTGCCCAATGTGTTAATTATCCAGCCTCCCACCCTCCACATAAAATAGCTTCAAATATAAAACAAAGCAGGGATGAATATTTAAACTACACAGCAAATATACATCATCTCCAAGATCTGTAAAGAATAAATATTTTTTTAAAAATTATGCAAACACGTGCCACTCTTGCTCTTTAACTTTACCATGCATATGCATTATTTACAATTTGAAAAATACTGATTTCCTTTTTAAACAAAAGTTCTGCTTTTTTAACCACCTTACAATCAGCCAATCCACATTCAGCTACCCAAAGGGGGGGTCTCACCACGTACAACATACATGGCTATAAGGACGTTTAAAGCTGTGTTGAAAACATATAAATCCATTCCCTATACACAAGGAAACGGAAAATGAAGTCAAAATGGAAACAAAAAAGTCAGGTTTGAAGGAGGAAGCTACGGTACAAGCCTGGAGGGTAGGGTCTTTTTTTTTCAGTGTCTTTTTGCGCTCCACTCTGCCGCTTACAATACTGTTGTACAATTTGTATTTTTTTTTTTAATATTCTACCTTTTTATTACAATATAATTTAAAGTTTCCATTAAACAAAACAAGAAGAATGAAACAAAAAAAAGTGATGCAAGATTGGGTAGTAGACCAGCGGTGACAGCAGAGGCCTGTGCTGCCCAGTTTAATTGCATCAGCACTCTAGTTGGTAGAGTTATTCTTAAAAAGTTCATGGTATGTAGGATTTATCCTCAATCCTCAATGTACTCCCAAAGGTCTTTCTCGTAACCTTCGTGCACATGCTGTAGCAACACTCTTCGCCGGCTCTCACAGTATCTGGGGATGTGAGAGAGAAGATACACTTTAGGGTTAAGGATCTTTGAATAAGCCTACCTTGTACACTGTCAGCTACTCCTTTTGTTCAATACAACCAGACAACTTACTATGACCTGCTCATGATACTTTGGAGGTATTGCTTTAATCCACTCCAGAGAGGCCTTAAATGTCTTTTCTGTATATTATAACTTTAATTCCACTCTAAAGTGCTTAGATGTTCAGATATTACACAATATTCATTTTCCGTTCATGGGGCAAGAGTCCAATTTCAAATAAGCAATGACTCAGAGTAACTGAAGTTAATGAAAAATCAAGAAAATCAAGAGATTTTTACAGATCAGAAAATTTTTAAATCTCAAATGTGTAGATATTTTTACACATTTCTAATGATTTAGAATCTTAAGAAAGAGTTCACATTCTTTTTTTTAGAAAAATGACTTATACTACTATACTGATACAACTGGAGATGATTAAAAATACCACATCTCTCCAAAACTCCACAGCAGGCACCCTACCTGTATTTATCCTGTACTTTCTGTTTGATGTCCTGAAGTGAGTCCTGGGAAATATCTCGTTCCAGATATCCAGACAAAACCTCTGTGGCATTTTCCAGGTCTGCCTGATTGTTCTAAAAAAAGGGGAGGGGAGAGAACAAAATAAGAGGGAGCAGAGTGCAGCAATGCATTAAGGACAGCTGTGTGCAGTTAATTAGCACTACCAACCAACAAACCACAACCATCTATAAAACAAAAGGCATCTTACAAGGCAAACGTTCAGGTTTATGTTTTTCTTAGAAGTGCAAGTAGAATTCAATGAACTGTAGGGATGAGAACAATAATTGGGTCCGTTCATTAAACATAAGTTGGCAAAGCCACATCACAGAAATACATAGCTTTAATAACGCACACTACTGTCTGAGACTAGCAGAAACGTTAAAAAATATCAGCGGCCCATCAAGAAGTGACTCAAAACCCCCCAACCCCTTTTAGGATCTCATACCTCAAAGATAATGGACTGATTATTCTTCTTGAGGTAGAAAGCAAAAACGTAAGTGTACATAAGCGTGGCACGGCACTGGCACAGCACATCGACGGCCTTCTTCAGGAACTGCACTTCAATCCAGGACATGTTGTGCTGCTGCATCTCCTCCATTTTCTGCTTGACCTGGGCGTACAGCTTGTGCTCGAAGCGCAGGCTCTGCATGTGGTTCATGTAGCGGTTGCAGTAGAACAGGTACCTTTGCAAGGCAGCTCTGGATCGCTGCAGGGTGGACAGAAACGCCTGTTGCTTACAGAAGGGACTTACAAATGTTTCAGGTTTTCTAAAAAAACGGCCCATACCCCCCTCCAAAAACAAAACCCAAAATTCACACGTTTACATTGTAAATATGATTTACAATGTCTTCTCTGCAAAGAAGAGAAAATCTCACCCCTCTGTGAATGTACAAACTTCAATAATTCCTGTTGCCCCCTCCCTTCCCACGGTTGTGCCCACCGGCTGTCAGCTAGAACACGAGATGCTTAGTCATCCCATGAATACCCTCTGTCTGCACTTTCCAGCAAAACAACCAATGCTTCACCGGGCCACTCAAAAAAAACAAAAACAGTTCTCTCTCACTAACAATTGCTGCAAAATCAAAACCCCTTTACAATGGCAAGGTAAACCTCGTTCCACACATTTGTTCCCTGTAATTCTGAAAACTGCACTAGGGCACTTTTTTGTAGCACAACAATCATTCCAGGTGTAGCTGAACGCGAGTCTGATTTACCTCTTGAGCATCTCTTGCTGCCTTAGCATCATCTTCATTGTAGCGATTGCAATTGTACCTTTAAAACATAATTAAAATTACCATTAACAAATAAAAAAAATCTTCACAGTCTTATATGTAAATAATAGCCATATGCATTATATAATGGTGATTTTATGTGTGCTAAAAATTATGCGATTGCAATTATTTCAAGCAATCTTTCATCAGTTTATTGTTGATGACATTACAATACATGTTTTATTTACTGGTGAAAGAGGTGTTGGAATCTTGCTCAAGATGTTGAATTACGAAAACCTCAATCACCTGAGCAAGTTCCATAAAAGAAGCAATAAAACAAGTGAGGGAAGAAAAACACCAACAACAAAAGCCTGCTAAAAATACCCCCTATGTCATAGCTGCAAGAGAGCTGTACCCAAAAATGTACCCAGAGCTTGAGTCCGTTTATATAACAGTAATATCATATGTTAAGTCAGATTTCTGTTTTTGTTTCTTTTCACCTGAAAAAGCTTCAATTACTTCTGATAACCTAATACTACAATTGTGCACAAAATGGTTGAAGTGTGTTGTTACTTTCACTCAAGAAGCACACACATCTTAAGGGGTGTCCAGTTTAAAGTTAGTAAAAATAGTGCTTGACTGGCTGCATGACAACAATGAGGGAACACTGAGGAAAAGGGGCCACTTATGCTGTAATGAAGTAAAAACTCGTACAAATATTTAAAATTAAAAGAACAAAATCATAAGATCCTTATCAGACTAACTGCACATAAAGGGCCCACTTTTTTCTAGATCATTGACTGATCAGCTTAAAAATCACCATAAAAATGGGTCTCCAAACCTTCATCATCTACACCTGGGATGTACTGGGTAAGAGAAAATCACACATAGTATTGCAAGGACTGAGAAACCAAAAAAACTTAATTCACTGGTATACCTGAAAGAAACCACCAGCAGACCATGAAACCTACAATACAATTTTGTTTTATTAGGCTCCACAAGATCTTTGGGTCACAAAGCAAGAAGCTTTTTAGGCTGAAATCTCCTAAACAGCTTTTTGAATAAATGCTATACATTATGTATTGTCACAATCGGAGATTTATTTATTCCTGGGGAAAACAAAACAAAACCTCACTGAAGATGGCCAGGAATCTGTAATGACACATCATACTTACCAGGCAGACCCATGGGGCTCCCAGGGACCTAGGCAAACCCAGCAGAACTCTGCTTTACAATTCTGGTTCCGACACACCATGTGATTGCAGCCTCCATCTTTCTCAATGGTCACATGACATTTGGGACATTCCTTACGACAAATACAGAGTTAGCTTTTTAAAACGTATTTGCAGAGTGCTATTCAGCCTCTCTCTCCAAATGATAAAGACAGTGGGATATTCAAAGGTAAAGTGCCATTTACCTTAGTGTTTGCTGCGATCCAATTTGATGTTTCACTGTCATCATCACATTTTTTGATCCATTTTCTCAACCACTACAAGATGCAGAATAAAAACCTTCCATTCAGATTTATGAAAGCACACCCATAAACTGAGCATATTCTTCCCTCAGTTGCAATAAGCCAGCATAATGTAATAACTAAATAGCACATTAAAGATACACTGATACAGTACAACTGTTAATAGCTAACAATACCACAGAAAGATTTAAGCTGTATGATAACTCACGTTAACCATCTATAAGTAGAATTTAATGCATGTGATCTTGTCACAAGAGTGACAGAGTCAATGGTAAAAGGAGGACATTTCACAGAATGTAAAAATACAAGTTAGATATATCATGTCTAATACATGCAAATTAAATTAATACATTTAAAACATGATACCTTTTACACAAAGTACATTTGCATTCAACTTAACTTTATTTCACAAATTAACTGCTTTATTTTAGTGAAAAAACAAAGTCCTTTTATGAACTTTTTTACAGAGCCTTTTCAATTTCTTTTAATCAAGGCCAGCAATAACATTTTTATTGTTAGTCTGACAGCCCATGGAAAAAGACCAGTCTAAGGACTTATCCAGCAAACTGAATTCCTATCCTTCGTTCACAAATATGTCTTCCTTCCTTTCAACACAATACTTGAATTTAACCACTGTTGAAATCAAGAGCCTGTTGGGCAGAGTGGCCAAGTATAAACTACAATAGAGAACAAACTTTTGGCTCTGAAGATCTGTTTTCCAAATGCACCTCTTTCAGATTCATCTCACAGAGGTAATAGGTCATGGTATTTTAATCTTCACCTGTACCTTTTCTATTTTAACTCAAAATGCTGCCCTCCCACTCCACTGACAGTTTATTCACACTCCCAAAGTATCATGAAAGCTGGGATAAATAAATTACAACCAATGAAAATGACTAACAACTGAATATATTCTAAATGTAAATAAGATTTTAGATCTTTAAAAAAAAAATGACAGGGAGCAGATGTCTCCAATTCATCTTTGAATAATTTAAGATGTGTACAAAAGGTAAGCCTCTCCATGCATGCCAATTTAGAAATGAGACAGTTCTGGAGAAATTAAATCAATTCTTAAAATGTCAGCTAGAAGTCTGTGATTAATATAAGATAATCCAAACTTGATCCCTGGCTCTTTTATTTTGTTTCCACACATATTCCCAAGATTAAAACTTCCCCGTTTATCAAGTTCGTCCAGGAAACAACCTCCTGAGTCTTTGAAATGCACTTCAGTCAGTCATGTTACATGAGGCTATTTGCATATGTGTCTCCCACATGCCTTTTGCTAAAACACAACTAAAGTGTTCACAAAAAAGGTGGACAAGGCAAGTCTCACGTGGTACTGCTCAGTTAAGTGAAGAAACACTACACTGTGAAGACATAACCAGTTATTCATACCTTACACTTGACAGGATCGTGCCAATTTTCTCCACAGTTGAAGCTAGGATTAAGAGAAAAATTCCATGAAAAAAATGAATCACAGTTTTTTTTTACAGTATTATGATTTTACAGCACTGTGGTCTTAAAAAAAACAGAAAAGGTCTGCTGCAATACTAGAAAATCACAAATACAATTAGCTCACCAGAAGCAGCCTAGCTGGTAAAACCATGGAAACTGCTTGTCACTGATAATGTCGCCAGGAAACTACTTTAAGAAGCTCTTGCAAGTACCTAGCTGTACTTTCAGTAAGAACTGTGCCAGCTCCCAATCCAACAACAATAATGCGCACTTGGCGTTTGGGGTGCAAAAGAAAATGGTTAACCTGATAATGAACATGCTTAAGGAAACTTGCTGATTCATTGAGTTACAATCACTTTTGCTTGATGTGATGCACACCCCAAAGTTTAAGAGTGTAAGAGTACGGTAAACTGGCGATCTACATTTAAAGTGTCACCTTGTTTTCCACCCTGACGGCACAAGAGGAAGCGCACCAGACAAAACAGGTGCTCAATGAGGTGCCAGTAGATAGACAGGTCTGCATGATGGGATGATGTCATTGAAAATTTTCAGCTAATAATTTCTCTGATCACTCACCAGAATTGACGTCCACATTTGCACCGTACAGGCTTGGCATCAGGATACTGGACTTTAACAACATGATGGCAGTCTGGAGCTGGACACCATTTTAACAGTCGATTACACTGGAGGAGAGACAAGACCAGGGGCTGATGACAGTTTTCAATACTAAACAAAAAGCAGCGTCATAATTCTCTTTTACAGTTTCATTCAATGAGCAATTCGATCACACAAAAAAAGCTGTACAATTCTTACAATATCAACCATATCGTTTTAACCAATGGAACACACTCTACCAGACTAAGAATTACATATAGTATATCAAACATGTAACAGATGTGGAGGTAAGTCCCGATCAGCCATCCCATGTGTTGTTTCCTGACTATTTGTATTTATTAATTTGATAGCCGAAAACATAACAGAAATACAACCTTACCTCTACAAAACTATTAGTGATTAAATGTTGGTACTTCAACTTGACTTTTGAATCTGTTATCAGTCGCCTATAAGGAAAAACAGAAGTGGTTTTAGTGTCCAAGACAATCCAAATGCATTTAACAACAAAACTAGATAAACTGTTCACTTAAGGTTCAGATTAAATGTGTTACAGTATAACATTTAGGGCATCCTAAAATAGACAATCTTGTCTAACAGCTGCAAAAATAAAAGCACCGATTTAATATTTTCATTTGACACTATAAGATCATGACATTTCCACTCTTTGGAAGAAAACTAGAGGATTATATTCCATAAACTTACTGAAAGTAACAGCAGTTATGAAATGACTAAAAAGTATTTTGTTTTACTTTCAGAACTGACAGAAAGACAGTCAGCCACATGCAAACATACAGCTACCAAAGCCTGACAAAAAACTTTCCACGAAAGAGATCAGGATATAGGTTGACATACTAATGGTGTTAATACAGGGTGAATAGGGGGACACAAGGAGGTTAATGTTAGAGCTCTCTAGATGTGTCCAAGTTAACAAATAAATAGAACCCACACAAACCCCAAAAGCCTGCTGTTTCCAAAGATAATTACTTCTTTACTTGGGATACATCATATAAGCCTTTGAAAAATCTGAGAATAAGAAATTCTACACAATTTCAAACAAAGAATGTTTGACACTGCACAAATTATTTTTTACTCATTATTCAATTTCTGATCCATATAATTAAGTGTACAAAATGCTGATGTGTATATGTTTTGCATATTTATTTTTTCCCATTATTGGAATGGGTTAGTAGCCTGAAACGCAGATTTGAATGCATTCATACTTGTATTTAAACATTATATATCTGCTCTCTGCAAATGAACAAGCCATAGAATATAAAATCACACTTTAAGAGTTAAGAAACCTTTAGCCAGAATTTGGAGTGGGTGATGGTGACCTACTTCTTCTACAAACAAGTCTTTCAAAGAATCTGCAGCTGCTTAACTGTAACAATATGTAATCGTTAAAGTCACACATCCACTGTTCTCATAAGCTGTAAACCCAATGAGCTTCCAAATGTTTTGAAAGCAAATTTGATGAGATTTCACTTGTTTCATTGCAATTTAGAAAATAAAACATTTCATTAAAAGGGTTTTCTGCCTTTATACAAGCCAATTTTCACAAAGTTCAAAGGCTTGCTGCAGCAAAAGAAAAATAAAAAAGCACCATATTTATCAGCAATGAAAAAAAAAATTCTATGAATATTTTACCAAAGAGTTGCTGTGCCAATGTTTTAGACTCTGGTCTACTTACATGACTGTATTGTCGTCCACTAAGATATCACAGCTGTGAGCAGGACAGGAAATGGTCTTAAAGAGAGAGAGGGGAAAAGAAGCAACTATTCATTCAATGCCAACTTTAAACTGAGGCTCGAAACAGTTACAACCTTTAACAGTACAACAAAGATGCAAATTTTACTTTTAGATGCAAAGACTTTTTTCTAGCACTCAGTTCTGAAGTATTTAGTTTAACCAGTTTTACTATTTAGATTCTGTGCACGGTGGCATATGGCAGAAATTTTATATTCATAACCTTTTTCTAACCTGGCATTAAAAAGACTCCATGTAGGATTAATTTCTACAAGTAACATCTTGGTGGCACCATAGTATGCTAATTTTTCAGCTAAAACTGTTTATGCATTTCAGATTTAATCAACTGTTCTAATGCTGTACCAATATTAATTAATTCCAGTACAAAACTTACTTTCATATTCAAGGGCAAATATTAAATCAAGTCCCCATTCACACCTGGATGCCTCTAAGTTAACCCAGAAGTTTTTGGAAGCTTTTAAAAGAACTTCATGCTTTTGACTGAAGAGTGAGACCAAACTTCAGAAAACCGCTTTTTGGGATTGCAAATGTGATGTAAACATGATAATATTTCATGGTACAGTAACAGCATGAAGAGAAGAGTACTTGCACAAAAATGTCATTATAGATATTTCACTGCTTATGAACTTTCTAGACTACTTAAAATACCTCTACTTAATATTAGTCTTTCATTTACATGCTTTCACAAGGTTTAGAGCTTAATATATCCTTTAATGTTTGATGCCGATAGGCATCACTTAAAATGACAATCGTGTTGAAATCTGTTATGCTCCAGATGAAAACAAATGCTTTTTTTGATAGTGTTTTCAGCTTCGAGTTCAAAACCATCACCGACACCAAGCCATCTTATGATGAAATGAATTAAATCTAGTCTCTGCCTCTCCTACAATGTCTTTTGTCAATGCTTAATTACATGACAAAATAAGGTTTTAATATGACCATGTGATGTTACATGGGACTCCTATCTAAATGAATATGAATTTGTATGCCTTTATTTTTTACTGAGCAAAACGTCTTTCACAAATATTTGCTACAATCAAATGTATCAGTTAGCAGCCGACCATCATCATACACTTGAAGTAAAACGTTACTTTCTATATAACCTAATCGCCAAATAGATTTGAAAAATGTTGTTAAAGGTCTTAACAAAATAGCCCAAATGTGAGCCAGCAACCTTACGGGGAATATGACCTTTTCAGTACTGTGAAATAAATGGTAATAATACTTGTCTGTGTACAAGTGGTTTACCTCTCAAGTGCTTTTATTTCCCTTTTCTTCCTGTTGTTGAGTTTGGGAGTGGCCCATTACTGACACATCCTCACTGGAAATGCGTTACGAAAGGGCCACCCAGGGCTCACTGCATGTTCACATACACATTTGCCTTGCCCTGGTGCTGTAATTGTCAGCCCCAGGCTATACACAACGTGTTGCCAAAACTCTGGTCAGCCAAGGTCTGCCTTTTCACATAATGAGCGTTTTCACCTGAGAAAAGGTGGCCCTGAGGATGTCTGCAGCCAACGCAAAACAGAAGGGGTTGTATGTTCAGTGAAATGCGGCTCATGTCTCTACATTCTGAGAATTGAATCCAAGCATGAATTGAGAAAATTGAACAACTTGTTCAGTTTTTTCCCCGATTCCTGGGTACACTCTGGACGTTACTAAGATAGCCAAATCACACAACTTTAGAGTCATACAAAAGAAGCTGAATACTGTTAAATATTGCAGCCACGCGTTAATTTGAATGAAAAATTAAAACACCATTAATGCTGACAATCAAAGCAAATATAGTGGCCGACATTAAACCAATGTTCATCATGAGACTAACACTTCAAATTTGCTTCAAAGAGTTTTAATAAATGGCCCCACTTTCTCTAAATTCTGCAAGTGTTAAGTGAAAGATATGTTGGTACCTGTCCCATTCCCTCCTCAATGATTTTGGTTGTTAAATATTCACTCCAACACTGCATGCAGAACTTGTGTCCACATTCCAGGCCAGTGAAGTACTACAGAAAAAAGAAAATGTTCACAGAAATAAAAACCACTTTAATCCACAAAGAAAACTTCAGATCTTGGTCATTTTTGACTAGTGCCAATCATGTAATGTACTGTAGAACATTTACTAAAAAGGTTCAGGTTATCCTGACCTACTGTCAATGCTAGACCTTCAAACTTCCTAAAATTATGAAATGAAATCAACCAGGAACACATAACATCAAGAAAGGTAATGTTATGATGGCATTTAAAATCTCTTAGAAAGTGAATAAACACTTTTATTTTATTCTCATTACCAGTCATCTATTACATGTATTCCCTATGTTCCCAAATCAAAACATTTTTTACAAACCACACTGTACTGCAACATTAGTACATAGCAATTGAGTGATAGAAAATGAAATTTTCAGCTCCATGGACTAGTGAACAACTTTCAAGAAAGCAGTAGAGCAAACAAAACAACCCCATCTTATAAAGCAAGAGGAGTGTGTCACGACAGAACAGTTTTCAAGTGTACAATGCAATGTACTGTTTGTATTAAAATATTTTCCTCCTATTTAATTTAAACACATGTATCTGTTCCCTCAAATGCAAAGCATTTAACACAGACCTATTGTTTCCTCTTGAAGTGGCCCAATGCACATCAGCTCAATTTCTCTGCAAAACCCACGGACCCTTAATATTGAAACTTTCAAAATGCTACAAGAGCCTTGCATCTCTCCTCTTGCCTGGTGAAAAAGTCTGTCATTCACTGGTTTACTGCTAATTATATGGCATCCTCTGCAGATTTCCACTTGATTTTCAATTTCTTCTCATTATGTTGATAACGCTTCAATTATGAAGTTTAAAACAGGAAATATACTGCAATATGGCAGTACCAAAGAAACATCAAATCCTGTTATGATTAAATTACTGAAATAAACATTCCATTACAAATGGCCTTGCCCTATGATTTATATTAAAATTGATTCAAGATATACAAAGAATCAGAGACTGAAACCAAGCAGACTACTCAATAAATCCTGCTTCTTTCAACTTAACAGCATACGTTCAGGAAATGCCCATCTATGCAAGAGTACATTTCAGAGTTGCGGGAAAAAAATCGAAGCAACTTCCTCACACATTCTGAATAGCAACTATCCACACAATGAAAAAGAATGCAAACTTCCATTGCACAGCTCTGTGGTACTGACCGAATTAGGATAGTTCAGGTAGCAGATCTGACAAGGCATGTCCTGGGCTGAAGACCTTGTGTTCATCTGACGGGTTCGAGACTTCTTACTGGGGTTTATAACATGACATTCTGAAAATAGTTTCTCAAGGTTCCCGTCAAAGTACCTGAGGAAATGACAGATAGTTAGTGGAAGAAAACATAACACAAACAAAAGTTCTAATGAACAACTGTCTCAGTTCCATGGGTACAAGCAGAAAAAAAAAACAATCTGCCCTACTAAGTGTACCAGGTTGCCAGTGATCAGTAGAGGCTCATTATGTCACCGTCAGGACTATTAATAAAACATGGCTCTGCCTAGACTTGCACAAAATACAAAGCCTAGTGTTTTTTTTAAGTCACACAATATAATCAAAGTAAACAACAATGAAGAACCTTTTGACTTCAAAGCACTTCAAATAAAATGCTATAATGCCAGAAGTTATACTGTGGCAGAGTGGCACATTAAAAACCAAATTGCCTCTTGATTCTGGTAGTTCTTAGAGGACTCCAAAACAGACAGGACATAAGCATTGTAATACATCAACAAAACCCAAAATAAGAGCCTCTATTTCAAAATGCAGCATTGGTCTCCAAAGACCACAACTATAGATCAAGAAGTGACATCCTTAAATATGATCAACATAAAAATCCCATTAAATATTCCTTACTGTCACTACAACTTTGCTAGCTTTAGTGCTGATCAAAGATGCTAGCATAAAATAAAGGGAACAAAGGTTTATTGCCTGTCTAACAAGCAGACTGAAAGAAGATTCTTTTTTACCATCTTTGATAAAAAAAAGAAAAAACTAAAAAGCCACAAATCCCATGTTAAAATTAATAAAGCTTATTTTAACAGTGTGAAATAGTTAAAATAAGAAATTTTGACGTTTAAAATGTAAAATTAAAATGCTGGCTTGCCACTGCTAAACACAAGCCTTTCAGTGAAGTACCCTCATCTTTCCTATTGAGTTAATTCAAAATTAAATGCTGTATTTTCACATTGTGCTGTGCAGTAAGACAAAAATCTCGGTATTTGATACTATACCTACTCCTTTTTTCACTTTTCACTTATGAGCTTTAGCACCAGTTTAGCCTTCTTGAAACTGTCGATATTCTCACCTAGGCACTGTTGAATGGGAAACAAGACTCTCTCTGTCGGTTTAAACTTATACCACATAGCTATCAATTTAAGTCTCAATACTGAAAACTACACAAGATGACTTTCACATCCATTTAAATCATAGCACAAAAGTGTAGTGCCACCTTGTTAGAATCAAAAACTTTAGTGCTTCCATTTTTGAGTGACACTTTTATGGGATATCTGTCAGAGAAGCAAACTGCTGTTTCACTCTATAAGCCAGTTTGTTCAAAACAAATCTTGAACCTCACAAATGCATCCTGGGTCATGTATTGGTCACTACTGCTCTGACAGATCCTAAATAAGAGATCACAAAAAATTAAAAGAGTCTGATTTACTTGCCTTTCCATCAGCTTCTCTTTGTCCCAGTTGAAGTGGCTAAGAAGTATTCTTGTTATAGTTGCAGGATTCTAGAAAGCAGAAACACAAATCAGCCTTTGCTCTTGTGTATTGGCAAAGAGATTATGTGAAAATCCAGACATGAAATAAATGGATACTTATTTCACATTTCCTTGGCTTGTCTGTGTAATTCCACAATATGGAAGTAAAAGTATATAAACCTATACTCTTATATTATACTGCACTAACTATAGCTATGAACACATTCTAGCTCAAAAACACATTTGCAATTAGTACCAGTATGAACCAATAAACAAAACATTTAAAAGGTTATGAGCACATAGTGAATTTAATTACTCCACTTTAACCAAAGGTTTTGTTGAACAATACTGAAACACCAGAGAACAAAAGAATCTTAAAAATAAACATGACAGTTTGACTTCAGCAATGATTTTTACACAAAAGGTGTCAACACAGTAAAACCAAATGCTTCTAAAAATCTCACTACCGCTCTTTAAATACGTACCAGATGACTGTAGTTTTTTGCATTTCTGCAGACTTAACACTTATTTGTCTCAATCATAAACTGTGGTTTCTGATAATTGACACATCTGGCTTTCTAACAGTATATATTTGAAAAATAAGTTCCTCTTATTCTTACTCTTATTGATACTTGAATCATTTGATTGCAAGGAAAGGTTTACACAAGCTCTTGGATAACATTTCTTCTATGATGTAAGAATACATAAACAGTTCCTCTAACAGTGGTGACCTATGATTAAATATCTTTTTTTAAGCTTTTCAAACTTCTGACTTCTATTTCAGTGGTAAATTGAACTAAATTGGGATGTAATGAAGACTGTGAAGACAAAGTACTATTGCTCGCCAAGTTTAGGATATTTAAATTATATTTAATATATTAAAATTAGGATATTTTAAAACAATGGACTTGCGATTACTGTATACTGTTCACATCTCTGTTTAAAAATTTCCAAATAGCATTAGGATTTCTTGATTAACCCCTAGTGTATACCTAAAAACAAAATCCACGCTTGGCTAAACTAAACAAAATGATCCACATCTTAGTAATTAGTATAGTTCTCATATTCTTAAACACGATACAGAATCATCCTAGGGCACATTTAAAGAGATACCATGATATTAAAACTGATAGAAATAAAATGTGATCATGCACCAACAAGGCATTTATGAAGCAAGTTTAGAACATGTGAAAGACTCCTTCAAAAACAGGTCAACATTCTTAATGTAATTCTCAAAACCAAGCAATCACTTCAAACTTCAATGATTCACTGTACACTAAGGGCGGTGGGGTGGCTCTGTGGCTCAGGATCTTGTGCCTGTGGCTGGAAGGTTGCCGGTTCGTATCCCGCAGCCGGCAGAGGAATCCTACTCCATTGGGCCCCTGAGCAAGGCCCTTAACCCCAACTGCTCCAGGGGTGCCGTATAAATGGCTGACCCTGTGCTCTGACCCCAAGCTTCTCTCCGGTCTGTGTGTCTCATGGAGAGCAAGCTGGGTTATGCAAAAAGAAATTCCTAACACAAGAAATTGTATATGGCCAATAAAGTGATCTTACCTAATGATTCCCCCCTCTGAAATTTTTACTTCATCTGAAAAACATTATGATTCTCAAACACAAAGCAGTATACTAGGTCTACCATTTACAACATAATGTTAATGAAAAAGATTTGCAAAAACTATTCTTATTTCAAAAAGACTGTGCACGTCAGGCTGACATTTTTATGTGCATGTGTTTGCCTACGATACAACTACTATGATACTTTGCCTAAAATTTACCACTATAAAAATTAAATTACCAAAAATCTTAGACTCAGAATTTCTGCACTTTAATGTGGAAAGCAAAATATTACACAATGCATTTTTAAAGAAATCTAATTAGTGAACTAAAGCAAAAGTAAGATCTACATCTTTATTTATTTGCAATAAAAGTCTGAAAATATCCTTTTATATAGTAAACTCTTGCTTTATTGAATTAACAGGGGAAAAGTGGTGTCCACTAAGTCACAAATTATATGCCCAAAAGCACTAAAACATATATACTACACATGCTTAATGGACCTTTTGACTTTTAACAATTGCAATTAACAGTCAATGAAAACTGTTTATATGCCTTTTCTCTCAAACATACAAGCTGTTTCATGTGTTTAAAATACACTGCAAATAATTTGCTAAAGCAAACAAAACAAACTTATTATAAGGAACTGATCTACCTCTATAGGGCACCATTACTATTCCTAAATCTCAAACCTGTGTAAGATTTAACTTTGTTCTGTTATTTGTGTATTTCATCGTTATTGCACAGCAAGTCTAATACTTCCCATTTTACAGACATAATTCCCCTTTAGCAGAATTTATCCATTGTATCCAAAGCAAAAAATATTAGGGACTGCTAAAATAGAGGAAAATTGTCAGTACAAATTCCAAATCAGAAGGAAAGGAGTATTGAATCATCCAATTACATTCATTAGCTGAGGTCACATCAAGCCAACTGTTAGCATCTCCCATTAAAAACAAGAGAGCATGTGATGATCATTTGAAAATATACATAAAGAAATTAACTTGCAACATTCTTTCGGGATTTTTATTTCAAGAGAATAAATCATGTGAAAAGAGGGCAATATTTAACAATTCAGACAATACTGTATGATAAAAGGCTGTTTTTAGCAGATCTTTGTATAAGATCAAAACCATAACGATCCCTAAAAGCTTGCCAACTTCTAGGCAGAAATCCATTTCAACCCAATAAATGACAGTCAGCCTCCAAAAATGTAACTATAGAGACAACAAAGACACCTCAACAGTTGATAGTGTACTACACAAAGAGAGCATAGTGGATTTATGTTTAAGAATAATAAAAGATTTAGACGACACCTTCTTGCAAAAAAGCCACAGGGCTGGTAATTTTATGAAATGTTGGGAGTACAATATCATATGACATTTTGTATTACTATCTACAGCTTTCGACTGTTAAACGTTGCTTAAACAGAAGGAACAAATGGATTTTGCTTTCTAAATTATGCAAAGATGGATACTATTCACATTTCATTTTTTTTTAAGATGCTGCACGCTGACATTAGAAAGACTGGGAATTTTCATTTACTATTTTAACACACATTGCATTCCTTGTCAGGGTACACTGCTGAAAACCTTAACATCCATTCAAATAGTTTGAAAAAGCTGTTCATTCCATTCCAAAACAGACTACCCTGGTATGCAGGATTATACCCTGAACAGGATGCTATCTGTTGCTAACAGATACTAAGTATCATTGGACACACACACAAGGAAAATGTGAAAAAACCTATCAAGCTACCCATCATTTATTCTGAAGATGGGAAAAAGCCACTGGAACTGGTGAAAATCCATGTTAACGCATGGAGAACATGTAAACTCTATAGAAAAGGTAACAAATCCAGACATTAACCAAGGTCTCAAGAGCTGAGGCTGCCAAGATAACCATAACACCAAGTGGCAGCCTAATATCTTAACCTTGTATGACGTCTTAAAATTATATTTACAGAACAATCTTTATCTATGAAAGAAAAATTAAACCAAAAATCTGAAAGGTTATCGTTCAATGGATTCGTTTTTCTGTTAAACTAAGAAGATTGCCATTAGCTGGATTAGACAATTGTTGATACAGTAAACACCTCTTCCAGCTGATGGTAAAGTGGATGACGGGCAGTGTCAACTTCTGACCTTCTCTCTAGCGCCTTAAAACACCAAACACCAGCAAGACACCTGTGGGGTTCTAGGTGCACGGTGTAGAAAACCCTTTTGCACAGATGTGACAGCGAGACGTAACAAACAGGACCTTGGGATATACCAAGTACTATATTTAGATTTAAGGACAACCATTTCGTAATGCCACAGACATTCATCACTCGCAGCAGCACCACATGCAATTGCAGCAATTATCAATAAAGAAAAAGGAATCTGACAAAAAAATAAAGCAGGTCATAAAGTCAAATGAGGACATGAAACAGGGTCACAGCTTCAGGTATGTTTTCTTTTACACTAACTGCAGGGGAGAGTATGTGCCAGGAAGCCAGCACTAATACATACAATCTAAAGACAGCATCCCTAACACAAAGGAACAAAAGGGAATTCCACAGCTGCTCCAATCTAGCACTTTACTGCAGGTGCTACTATCACTCAAATATATGCACCCTACTAAAATGTGTGCAGAATACGTCAAGATCATTAAAAAAAGGTGAATAGCACAAAATACCTTTTGGAACTATTCCAATCCGTTCTTTGGCCTGACTGTAACCTTATCCTAAAGGATTCTCACAAATGAGTCACCTTTTCCATGTGTTTAGCTCATTGATGCCAACAGTCTTGTTAAAACATTTAAGTTGTAGTCTAGCTCTAAGAAGTTTAATTTCTGCAACTCTGCTCAAACCCCTTGGCAGCACAACAGAACGTGAAAAAAAATACTTCAAACGAATGAAAAAAAAAAATCAATAAAAGTTAGCAAAAAAAAGTCAAAAAAGGAAAAATACATGATATTTGAAACCTTGCACAAAAGCCTTGTTTGTCAACTACTAACTATTCTTGGCAGGCACATTTAAAGACTTTCAAAAACAGAACTAGGTGCAATTCCTGCATTTAAAGACAGGCAAAGTGAATTTGAACCACCTGCTGAGTTCCAGAGGGCCTCCTCCATTTACTTCCCCATACAAAACAGGGAGTGTTTACTATACCCTATCCCTACATGCCATGGCAGGGAAGAGAAGATGTTTGCTCGTCAACACCCACTCAAAATTCACAATCCCTTCTCTCTGAGGCCCCATGTCTGTGCCAAGGGTGTGGAAGCCAAAACTTATTAATACAGGACAGTATTACAAAGGAGGTCTGATTTACAGTTGTAAGTGACAAAGCATATTTTAAAAAACAACTTAATTGTACTTTTGTTAAATTATTTTTCCACCTCTACAACACGGTCAATGTTTTTCTAATTTTGATAGCATAAAGCAGTTAATTCTTGAACAGGAAAAAAATGTTTACTTACAGGGCTGCTACAGATTACAAACAAACTATAAGATGGCAATGCGTCTAATGAATCCAATACTCGCATGGATAACAGACTAACTATACCAGCCTTTCCCCCTCAGTAGCTCCACTTTTGTGGACATTCATCACCTGAAGCTTATTAAACGGAGGTAAGATACCTTTTATTCCTGTCTCCACCAGAGCCCAAGGGTCATGCAAAAGATCATTTAGAAATATTAAAAGCCACATCACCAGAACAACGGAGAGCAGAACCAAACCGCCTGGGCACATGGAATGAAAAGAAGTCCTGCATTTCTAAACACTGAAAATGCTATCAATATATGCTGGGTGCACACTGCGATTCCTTTATGAATAAGTCTTCTAAATGACAAACACGTTAGAAAAACAATCTGCACACCAAACTAGCTTTAAAATGAAACAAATAAAAGAAAAAAGGCTAGCTTTACACAGTGTACAGCGTGAGAGTTATCTTGAGTCAAAGCTTCTGCAATGAACAAACAAATTTATATGAATACTGGAACTTGAACGCGCTGGAAATAAAGCAGTATATAACTACAGATTATAGTAAAGCTCTGCCCCTAGAGAACTTTGCTGAATTCTGATGGTATAAAGGGCACAGTGTGGCTTAGTTGGCAGCATGTGTGCATCTGCTCATCGGTTTGTCTCCTGTTGAGTTTAAAAAACTGAAACAGGAATTTAATCTGAAATCTGAAACTGGAATTATAATCCATTCCATCATGAATACTTACAAATAACCGCTTTAAAAAGCCATTATTTACAGATTTAAACTCTTTACAGAGTAGCTGTCGAAGCAAAAAACAAATCCAGTTGGGGCTGCACACTGGGGGTGGTGGAGGGGATCCCCATTACCTGTAAAGCACTTTGAGTGGAGTGTCCAGAAAAGCGCTATATAAGTGTATGCAATGATTATTATTATTAATCATTCATAAGTGGCTGCTGCTCATACAACAGCAGGTAACTCATAAACCAGATGATTGTCAAAGGATGTAGGTGTAAAAAGGGTATTTAAAACTTCTAAATATTTTTCTGACTAAAATGTAATTTTAAAAATGTACATTCAAGCTTTACAGGATGGAATTTTCTAAACGTATTTCTGTAAAGAAGATGCATTAGTCAGAAAAAT